TGTACCAGTTCCAGTTGAATAGTTACGCAAACCTTTTTGGCCCTTGTAGGATTGCTTGGCCACTTTACCTTCCAAATAGGACTAACATGTAGCTGTTAGTTAAAAGATTCTTGAACTTTCAGTCCCTCTTTTAACTAAAACATGTTTCCTACTTGAGATAATGTGACTCAATCACAAAGGTCAAAGTTATGTTTCATTTGAAACTTTTATTTCTTTGGTGAAAATCCTTGTTCATCATCTTTTCCATTCAACATAACAAATTTAAAAAGGTTATAGGACATAGGTAATAAAGACTATTTAAACAATGTACCAGAACAAACAAGACGAAGATGAACTTCGAAATGTAACTGAGGAATCAATTGCATTGTCAACCCATGTTTTAACCAAAACAACTAACAAAAATTGAATTCCTCTTGAAATCTGGAACAAATAAACAGTCACCCAAAACCATAGTCTTATAAATAACTTGTCCTACTGCAAATGCAGACACAAGTTCTCATTTTCAAGCTTAAAATATCTATGTCCATTGTTGACAGGTATGCCATGTTTGAACTACTACAAAGAGTAACAAACACAATCAGTGATTCCTGAATCAATAATTCATTCACTGATCAGGCCTTGATATGCCCATGTCAGGTTCTTTTCATCACCTCTGGGCAATTTTTCTTTCAGTATCCCTTCAGTCTGCACTTGAAGAACTTGTCTTGCGGCTTCTTCATAGCAACTGGTTTGACAACTGATAACCAAGTCATTTTGTTCTTGTTACCACCCTTGGGTTTTCCCCTTTGGATTTAACAAGACTCTTAGCAAAACCTGCACCGACTGCATTCTGTCTAGCAGAGCTGCTAGACGCAGCAAACATGTCATTAAGAGTCTGAAGTATTTCTACTCCACTCTTAATCATGTACACTTGCTTCTGCAAGTATTTGGAAAGACTGACAATAATATAGTAGCGAACTACCATATCTGCCCTTTCCTAATCTGAGAAATGCATCTTAGTTTCCTTATACGCATCCTCTGCAGGTTGCTATGGCCCTCGCATTGTCAGGACAAATTTTAACTTCCATGTTTTAGAACAATATCAAAGATTTTCTTTTCACTTATTTATAGTTGGTACCATCTAGAGGTTTTCGACTCAAAATCATTTCTAAGCTATTTTCTGAAAAACATATAAAGCACACAATTACAAACAAATAATGCAATAAACAAACGAAGTGCAAGTAGATTCTCATAATTACTCTTGTTTATTGTTAACAATCCTTCAGTTTATCTTTACAAGGCTTACGATGGGCAAGTCACTTGTAAAAATCAAAATTATTATTTGGGCCTTCAGTGCCATTGCCAGAGCCTCGATGGGAGGGTTAACAATTTTACCAAAGTTGAATGTAGTTAACCATTGTTTAATTTCAAAATTATCCTTAATGTCTAAGCATTGCCGACGATGGGTCGTACAATATTTTACTAAAATTTTAAAATTGTTAAGATTTAATCTAGTGAAATCTGATTATCCTTATCCGATGGGGCTTCAACGATAACCATTTCACTAATAAACCCACAAATGGAGCCCGAAGGTTTTAAAATTAATTAATTTTTTAAAACCTTCACCCATTCAACATTTTTGTTTGAGAATTTTCATAAGCCTAGTCGAATTCATTGTTTAATTTCAAAATTATCTTTAATAACTTAGTATTATCGACGATGGGCCGTACAATACTTTATTAAAATTTTGAAATTACTAAGGCCCAATAAAATCCAATCATGCTTATCCGTTGGGGCCTCACATGATTATTTTATTGATAGGCCCACAATGCGCCTGGAGGTTAAATTAATTTCTTAATTTAAATCTCTTCCCATAGATATTTAAGTCCAATCTAATAAAATCCAATCATGCTTATTCGATGGGACTTCACATGATTATTTTATTAATGGTCCTATAATGCGCTTGAAGGTTAAATTAATCTCTTAATTTAAATCTCCTTCCATTCAACATAAGCAACATTTTCTAATTTCCAAGAATTATTTAATTGAGAGTATCCTTTGTTTGATTTCAAAAACTATATAAGTAAGAGCGCCGATAAACGTGCACTAAGCTTAACATAATTTTGAAAGCATTAAGGTCCTGAAATCCGGTCACTTTACGTCAGCGTGTGCTCCAAACAATCATGATACATGAATGTTGTATGCAGCGTGTGTTATTCCATGACCATTTCAAAAAACCCACAAATTACTCGCAAAATAAAAGAATTCTCTTAGGAAATTTTCTCTAATTATTTTTCTAGATTTAAATCGTCCAAATAGCTGACTTAATTATTAATCTAGATTGCAACAATCATAATAATTACCATTTATGAGGATAATTTGAAATCAAAATAATTTCCATAACGATTATTTGTCTTGATGTTAATTATTCAAAATTAATTAATTCAATTATTAATCTAGATTTTTAATAAAAATCATAATAATTATTAATTAATTTCTTAGGATAATTTAAAATCAAAATAATCCCATAATAACTATCATACTAGTCGCTGAAGACATAATAGCTATTATGCTCATGCAATCATACAAGTTATGCAACAATATGGCACCACCTAATCTATATGGCATGTTATCGCAATAAAGCATGTTATCAATCATATAATTTATATCAATCAATAAAAGCATTAAATAATAAAATCTAATTACTTTAATCCATGACATTCCTATTTTAAAGAAAATACAAAAAATGTTACAACTTTGGAATTCAACTTTCGCCTAGCCCATAGTATCTGTCTCAAGCCCCTTTAGGGTTTCCATGGGCCCAAAGCCCAAAGACCCAATCCTTTGACGAGAAACCCTAGGACGCAAAAGAGGAACCCTAGCCGTCAGGTCTGCCGCGCCGTCACCCAAAGTCAAATCAGGCCGAAACTCCAGAGGAAGGACTGCCACATAGAGACGAGTGCACCGCCGCCGGAACCACCCAAAAAGGTTGCCGGACGCTCCCTCACTCTCCCATTCTTTGCCGGAGAGTGGCGACCACTCTCAGACGCTTGTGGAGGCGCGTGGAGGAGCGTGAAGGCTCCGATGGCGGAGATCCACCCACCGTTCCGTCCTCTTTCCAACCATATATAGATCGCCCCATTCCGAGATCGGGAAGTCCTCAAAAAGTCTCCGAAAGTACTGACTGCACATCTTACTCGCGGTTTCTCGATCTTGAACTTTTACAAAATATTGAAAAAATACACAGAAATTTCAAAAATAAACAAAAACAGCAAGGAGGAAACCTAATCATATGGGATTAGCCTCCTTGTTACAAATCGAGAAATACACGAGAGACCCTAACCATGGATTAAAGCATTTTTACCGATTAAAATTTAAACTTTTATGAAAATGAATTATAAAATACACATGCTAGATTCATACCATAATCCTAGAACCCTAGGTGCCACATTTCAAGAAGCAAAACTAATTACATGAATAGTGAAACTAGATTCACATACCAATGTACAGCCAAGGCTCTGATACCAATTGTAGGAAATCTTAGATTTATGCGGATGCGGTTTAGGACCTAGTACATTGATATGCTTACCGAATCATCCTTGTTTCACAATTACCTCTCGGTGCGCAGGTCTCGTGTAGAATCTTCCCTTGTAGGAATCCTCTTCACGAACAGCTCACCTCAGCGCCGCAGCACGAACAACCTCCTTGAAGCTGGACTGTGGCAGATCTTCCAAACTATCTCTCGAGGAGGAAGGGGAAGTGTGTGGGCACTGATTAGATTCTGAGCTTGCCTTTTTCTCACAAAAGAGACCCTAGGAGGCTGATGACTTAAGAGATACTATTTATATGGGTTCCAAGAAACCCTAGCTCGTTGGGCTCTAGGTTCCTTGGCTCTTCTCATACTAATAACCCATTTGGACTTTAGTAAAAGAGCAAACCCAACACCTCATCCATTTCCTCGTCCAAGGTTGCATCCTCCTCTTCCTCTCTTCTTTGAGTTTCCATCCAGTTTTCTTTCTCGCTGTCATTATCATATTTCTCTCCATTTAACTGTAGCACTATATCCTTATAAGTGACCACTCTTTTTTCCGTAGTGATTTTAATGTTCACATTTCTTCTTGATAAAACCGTCATCTCCTCCACTGGCTTTGCAGCACCCCCAATTTCTGACATCTCTTCGTCCATTGTTGAGTCCTCCAACATGTTCTCTTTTGCTTTTTTGATGCTCCTCTCCAGCAAGTCTTCCTCTTCCCGTTCAGGTTCCTTTCTAGTACTGTTTTCTTGTTCCATCTTCTGGTTGAACTTCTTAAAAAGAAACATTCGACTTCACCGCCGTATACGGCGGAAAGAGGATTGAAGCTCTTGTTGACAAAAACCGGTACCTTCTCGGATTTCGATCCCTTCTGTTTGTAAAAAAGAACAAGGGAAAGTGTTGCAAATTAGACCCTTATTTCTATTATTAGGCTTTTTTAAGCTTTTTTTTTGGAATATAATTTTTTTTTTGGTGAATATAGTTTGTAATATAATTTCACTAAAATTGTTTTTGTCACAACTTTTTGATACTATTTTTTTTAGAAAAGCTATTTCGAAATAAGAAAGCTTTGAAGGACATAGTGAAGAACTGAAGATGCATTTACCGTTAGATTTAAATTAAAGTGTCTCTTGAAAAATATGAGTGACGGAGAGATATGAATTTATTTTCTTTTACTTTTTTTTTTTGTTTCAATAGCAAGTTTCAGTTCAATATATTGAAAAATATATTTCAAACAATAAATAACTTCCGTTTATAAGCCTAAGCATGGTATGCCATGTGCCCAATGCGTGTTGCGCATTCAGATGAAGGCGAAGTAATTAAGATTAAGAATAAAAAAGAATAAGAATATTAACTCAAATTTAACATTTTTATAATGTTATAGAAGGTATAACAATGAATGAACAAATGAAAGAATCTCTCATTGCCTAACAGCTAATTAAACGGGGTTGAAAATTTTAGAGTTGGGTTGGGGATGCACGACGTGCGTCTATACGAGCGTAGAACAAGCTGAGGTTTTAGGGTCAAAGAGAGCTGGTAACAAGAATTTCCGTTTATTGACGCCATTCGCATTGTAGCTAGATCCAGTTGTGGGGTCCACCAGGAGGTTCCCAGCGTAACCAGGGTATGCCCCTTTACCGTAGACACCAGTGCAAGCGGATGCAGCTTCGAGTGGTGCCTCTTTGGGTCCTTGGAAGTACCCATTCCCGAATGGGTTTGTTGCAGTCCCAGCCAACAGACTTGCCACGTTGATGACCATTCCGTCAACACCAACGTCGTTGTTTGGTGCAACCAATGGTGCACTCTGGGGACCGTATATGGGTTGGTGGAATGGCCACGCGCATTGACCAGGGCACTGAGTCTCCGAGTTACCCACCCATATGTATGCGAATCTGTACCTCTTCCCATTCACGCGTGCACCCATCGAGGAACCGTGAGTCCCACACCTGCTGGAGCAGAGCCCATCAACGGCTACGTCTGCTGCTGTGAGAACCACGTTGATGGCTTGTTTTTGGGGACCCTTTGATGCGAGCTTCACGATTTGGTCATCGGTGAGGGATTTGCCCATAGAGTAGTTCTCGTCGATGACTTGGGAACCGAGGGAGAGGGCTAGCTTGGGTGACTTGTTGGAGTTGATGAGGTTGTAGTATTTCTCCGTGGCCTTCCACCATGTTGCCACGGTTGGTTGTGATTGTGATGCGGTGGTGATGGGTTTGGGAGAGGAGAGTGATGTGATGAAGTCTGCAATGATGGCTCGCTGGGATGGGTTGAATTTGCCATACCAAATGAGGTTGACAGAGATTTTGCCAGTCAGGAGAGGGCCTTTGTGGTATTTGAATTGCAACTGCTGATCTGACTCAGCGAGTCTCCTACCTGAGCTCAAATGAAGTAGGGAAATTGTGAGAAAAAGGGTCAAGAGAACAGATGAGGATATAAAAGAGGCCATTTGTTTGTATTTTAATTGTATATAGAGAGAGAGCGCAAAGAAGAAAGTGTAAGAAATGAGATGTTGTAACTTGTGAGGTGAGGCGATGGAGAAGAGAGATGTGGTGGATATGTATATATAGTATGAGTGGGAAGGGATTAGGCTGTAGAAAGGAAGGTGAAGGTGAAGGGAAGGAGACAAAATAAAGAGGGAGAGGGCGTAAAGGTGAAGTCAAATTATGAGGGATTGTTTGTGAGTGGAGTGAGGTTAACTGGCAGAGTTGCCAGCTTGATAACGCGTTGCTGTTTTGTTATTCTCATTTTTCCCATAAAGTAATATCCATATTCCATTAGTTTGAGCCGTAAGGTTACAAGTTTCGACCGAATTCATTATTTTAGTATGATAAGTCATAAGTTGTAAGGATGCATACACGGGGACACGGGGCGTGGCCAGCTCAGGGGAATATGGACATGGACAATAACATCACAGGAACGGGACAATAAGACAAATTTGAGACTCGTTTGATTTGTAGAAAGGTATGCCTTTTAGTCCTCAAGGATTATGTGCTGGATCTGCTTGCTAATTTAATAAGTTCCATTTTCTAAACTTCAAAAGTAATTTCACTTCTCCTCGATATTTATTGTTCTATTAATTCCTATTGATGAAAAATCGTATGTTCATTTCATTGTGCTTTTCTTGATTAAAAAATTTCGGTAAATATTATTATTATTATTTTTAACAAAAGTAGTTTTGTTATATTTTAGCGTACTTTGTTCAGTTTTCCTAAAAAAGTTAAAGTATTTGGATCAATTTGAGCAATACCACTCTTACAATTACAACTATTTATTTATTATTGGATTAATTTAAAATCAACCGTCGAAAAAAGTTGTTTTAAATATTTTCAGATTTGTGTATATGTATATGGTGAAAAATTCTTGTGAATATATATTAGAAAATTTTTTAATATATAAGAAAAATAAATTAGCAAATAAATATTTTTATTGTTGGCTAACTCAATTAACGGTAAAAATCTATCCCAATTTTTACTTTTCACTAAAACTCATGCTCCAAGCAAAATTCTTAAAAATTTGTGTGGTTCTCTTTATTTGTCTATATTTTTATTGTTGGCATATATTGTTATAAATTAAGATTCAAAATGCTCCATAAATATTGTAATTAGGATTGTTCATGTATCACGTATTCCAACCAAAACGGATTTATGAAATTTCATCTTTGTTTGAAGAAATGTGACAAAATTCTGCAATCCAGATTTTGAAGTCACGGTCTCGGTCATAAGCTTCGGGTCCCAACCTTTAACTTAGCGTTTTGTACTTGTAAAATTCAGTTTGGTTGTTCGAAAGTTCAGTACAGAATACAAATTAACTTTGAAACAGAAAATAAGAAAGGAGAGGGAGGCGGTTAAAGAAAAAACTACTTATACGCAAGTTCAATTTGGGGGCCGGGGACCCACCCCGAGCCAGGAAGGTGCCAGCTTTCATGAGCCGTTGTTTTCCTTCGTAAATTATTATTGATGTTTAGAAAATGGAAATTGCTAATTTAGCTTACAGATCCAGCACATATTCATTCAGGGCTAAAAGGAAGGAAGCCCTTTAACAAACAATACTCAAGTTTGTTTTCTCGCCCCGTTCCTTTGTAGTTACTGTCCATGTCTATATTCACATTAGCTGGCCATGCCCTGTGTATCCTGACGAGTTGTCTAACTGTGACTATACCTAAATAATGAATTCATTCGGTCGAAACTTGAAAGCTTGCCGCACAAATTCACGGAATTTGATTATTATTAGATGAGAATAACAAAACAGCAACGCGTTATCAGGCTGGCACCTCTTCAAGTTAACCGCACTCCACTTTCGGGAACAGTGAAGATTTGTTCACTGTTCCTGTCTTTTTTTATCTAAATATCATGTCTATAGTTTTTTTTTTTTTTTCACACGGCCACGTGGGCAAGTTTATTGGGCAAAGAGGCGGACTATGATTGGTGATGTGTCAACTTTCTGGTGGTGCACAAATTCGTTACCTGATGTAGCGAATTTATGCAATTAATATTCCTGCATGTTCCCAGTTGTCCAGCCACGTGGCAGACATGCAGTGAAATTCGCTGGGCAGGCAGGCAAACTCTGCGTACCGACTACACTGACACGCATGCAACAAGTTTGTTGGGGTGAGCAACGAACTTGGTGCAATGATACATTTCTCACCCCTATATAACCCCCCCTCCCTATTTCCCCATCCCATCTCCTCTTTCCCCCTCTCTCTCTCTCTCACTCTATCTCTTTAATATTTTCTCTTCCTCTATATTTAAGGTTAGTATTTTTTATAACTTTATGTATTGTATTTAAATGTTGTTAATAAATATGTTTAGCATGAAACCTTAGGCTAGTTGACTTTATAGCTTTATGTATTGTATTTAAAAGTTGTTAATAAATATTATTAGCATGAAACCTTAGGTTAGATGTCACAATTGTGACAATAGGATAGAATTGTTTCTTATGATTTAATATTATTGTTGTTAGTTTTTTATATTTATATTAATGTATTAATTAATAATATTAGGCATTAATAATATTAGGAATTAGTTTATAAAAAACTTATATTAATGTTGTTAAATTAAGTAATTAATAATTTATAATTAGACATTAGTTCATAAAATATTGTTTGTTAATGTTGTTAAATTTAATAATTAATAATTTATCCTTAGGCATTAGTTTATAAAATCTTGTTTGTGAATGTTGTTAAATTTAGTAATTAATAATTTATCCTTAGGCATTAGTTTATAAAATATTGTTTGTTAATGTTGTTAAAATTAATAATTAATAATTTATAATTACGCATTTGTTTATAAAAAAATAATATGAATGTTGTTAAATTTAATAATTACTAAATTATAATTAGGCATTAGTGTATACAGGTTGAAATGCAGTTTAGAAAAATTTTATTTTAATGTTGATAATTGTATTTAATAATTTTTTGATTATGCAATATTTAATAAAATTAAATTAAAAAAAAATTATTAATTTATAGGGTTGCAAAATAGGTTAGATGGGTTTTTTAGATTAATGTTGTTAAATTTTGGTATTTAATATTTTTTTTATTATGCAATTCTTAATAATAGTAATTCAGGAAGCTGACACATCACCAATCATAGTTTGCCTCTTTGTCCAACGAACTTGTCCACGTGGCAATTTGGGGAAAAAGACGGTAAACGTGACATTTAGATAAAAAAGACTGGAACAGTGACAAAATGGTAAATGTTTCCCGCTTTCGTACTAATAATATATGAAGCACCGACACTTCAAAAACCCTGACGTGTCGTGTCCGACACTCTCGGACACTCCGACACTCCCCAACACTCCAACATGCGTTATAGAAATTCAAAAAAAATGTTCAAAGGTTGTGTTACGTTGAGTTTTTAGTTCCAACTATTAGATTCGTTGTATTACGATTACTATTTTATTAAGTTTAATATAAATATTTGGGATATCTTATGTTTCTTTGCAAAATTTATGAATATTATAATATTAGATTTATTTTTTTGTTAAATTATTGAATATTAAATATAATATTCACTACATAAATTAAAAATATTATTTAATATCAAAACTTGTCTTAACGTGTCAAAATCTAATATTTTTTAGAATTAACGTGTAAGAGTGTCGTGTCGTATCGTGTCACGTGTCCCGTGTCGGTATCGGTGCTACATAGCTAATAATGATTCATTGCATTATTTAAAGTTGGAAAATAGGAATCACTTAATTACATTTAATGCCACGTGAATCCCTTTTTATTTTTTTTAATAAAAAAAGTACCACCGAAGACTTTAAGATAAGCTCCACAATTAAAGTTCACCATTACGCCATCTCCCTCTAATTAATTAGGTCTCTTTCCGTTCACCTTCCTTTCTATTTCCCATTCCCCTCCCACCATTCATATCTACTATTAGCGGTGTTAACGGGTTCAATTGGACCGAACTTTGGTATTAAAAAGTTAAGTTTATATTTAAATTTGTCAGTGTGGCCTAACTTGTTATTTATTATAAATATAATTATCAGTTTGTGGCCTGACATATTTACAAAAGAATGATTTAATCTATTAAAAAAATAAGATAACAAAAAATTATCCAAACAAAATATACGATTAATAATACTAATGATTCTACAAAAATTCATAAATTTAATATATATCTAAACAACCTAATATAGAACAGAATCATTCAAAAAATCTGTTTAACTAATAAAATGGGATAAAATTGGTTGTGGAAAGATAGAAGGCTATTATGAGAAGTATAAAAAATATGAAATAAAAATAAAAATTAGTATAATAGGTCAGAGAGGCTTTAAGGCTGAGTTTTTGAATTGGAGTCTAATGTTTTTTTTATTAAATGAACGTTTATACACGTTTAAGCCTGTTTCCAACAACTGATTTTAGATATGTAAACTCAGACTCTCACGAGCTAAGACAAAGACCCCTTAAAAAATCTCTGATTCGTTTAACACCCCTATCTACCACCACATCTCTCTTCTCAATACCTTACAAGTTACAACATCTCATCTTTTACGCAGTTTTCTTTGGTCTCTATATACAAAATACAAATGGCCTCTCTTATATACTCATGTATTATTATCTTCAGCCTTGTTCACCTGCAGTTGCAGTTCCAATACTATAAAGGCCCTTACCTAACTGGCAAAATCTCTGTAAACCTCATCTGGTACGGCTACTTCAACCCATCCCAGCGAGCCATCATCCCAGACATCATCAACTCCATTATAAGCTAACGTAATTAATCCATGGAGTCAATTAATATTGAATGCGCATATTCTTCCTATGCTTCGAATGTTTGGTGGCATTTAAGAGAGTTTTTATTTGAGGCTGGAAGATAGGTGGGGGAGCAGTACCTCGACACATAGTTATTAATACTTGCCCAACATTTTAAGCTAGCTCTGCACAAATTAAGTCCAACCGGATAAGGTAGTAAGCAACATCTTAATTAGAACATGCTAATT